ACACCGGTGAGAAAGTGACTGAAGTTGAGATGCCAGATTAGGGTCGATTACATTACCGATCCTTCTTTAGATTTTGTCAAGAATCTCGAGATGTGTAACAGATGAACTAAAAAAAGGTATACTAACAGGATTCACTGCATAGACGAAGGATTGATTTCTAAATGTACAATATATATATATATATATATATATATATATATATATATATATATATATATATATATTTTGGTTGGATTGATGTGAGTTTGTGACCCTGTGTTTCATAGTAATTAATTTTGCGAATGAACAGATGCGTAAATTTCAAGATTGGTTATTTTTAAATTTTCGCTTGGGGATGAAACAGGGCTTGATACTTTAATTCAAATTAATTTTAATAATTATATTGAGGTTTTTGGCTCTCGTTTTTGAAACATGCTAACTCTTATGTAGCGAAGCAATCATATTTTTTTAAAAAAATAATTATAATTTAAGCTCTACTTCTGTATGGAGCACTGTTTTTTCTTTTTTTTTTTTAAATAAAAACAAAAATACTAAAGAACCCCGGATTATTTACCTAACGTGTTCTTTCCTATTTTTCTACCTATCTGCACGCGCGCGCACACACACACACACACACACACACACACACACACACACACACATATATATATATATATATATATATATATATATATATATATATATATATATATATGGTAAACACACTGTATATTACTGCACACTACCGTGGTTTCAACTGCTAGGTCTTTTCACATTTTCTTTTTACACCTTTTTCATTGTATTGGCTTGTTCTGCATGTTTGTTTTTCAAAGCGGCTGTATTGAGCCCTTTATTATATGTCCGATTTTGGTAGCCTCGTTTTGTTTTCTGTCCTTTTAACATATTTTGTGTTATACACACACACACACACACACATATATATATATATATATATATATATATATAACCAGGTTGAGATAGATAGATAGATAGATAGATAGATAGATAGATATGAATAAACAAAATTGTTTATCTCTCTACGAGAAATGGAAAGAGTTTCGAATGATAAATTTCTCTAAATTATGTAAAAGCCGGAGTAATAGCAAGAAGTAACATCAACACAGGAAAATCGGAAATAATGCTTACATTAAATGTCAGAAGAAAAGTCACAGGTTCAACCATATAAATGCATCAAAGGTCTATAGAATGGGAATTACCCGCTTTTTATTTCATTCTGGTACTCCCTCTCCCCCCTCTCTCTTTCTTTCTCTCTCTCTTTTTATCCATCTATCTATCTATCTATCTATCTATCTATCTCTGTTTGTATCTAATTGCCGTAATGTTCTTTTATATGCCTTTATTTTATCCCTCATTTTTCTCTTTTCCCACTCAAATATAGTGCTATTCTGTTTTTCAACACATTCATTATAAACAGATTTTGAAAATCTCGGCTGGTTTCATCTATCTATCTATCTATCTATCTATCTATCTATCTATCTCTGTTTGTATCTAATTGCCGTAATGTTCTTTTATATGCCTTTTATTTTATCCCTCATTTTCTCTTTTCCCACTCAAATATAGTGCTATTCTGTTTTCAACATTCATTATAAACAGATTTTGAAAATCTGTTGGTTTCTATCTATCTATCTATCTATCTTTCTATCTATCTATCTATCTATCTATCTATCTATCTCTGTTTGTATCTAATTGCCGTAATGTTCTTTTTATATGCCTTTTATTTTATCCCTAGTGCTATTCTGTTTTCAACACATTCATTATAAACAGATTTTTAAAATCTGCTGGTTTTTCTATCTATCTATCTTCTATCTATCTATCTATCTATCTATCTATCTATCTATCTATCTCTGTTTGTATCTAATTGCCGTAATGTATCTTTTTATATGCCTTTATTTTATCCCTCATTTTCTCTTTTCCCACTCAAATATAGTGCTATTCTGTTTTCAACACATTCATTATAAACAGATTTTGAAAATCTGTTATTTCTATCTATCTATCTATCTATCTATCTATCTATCTATCTATCTATCTATCTCTGTTTGTATCTAATTGCCGTAATGTTCTTTTTTATATGCCTTTTTTTATTTTATCCCTCATTTTCTCTTTTTTTCCCACTCAAATATAGTGCTATTCTGTTTTTCAACATTTCATTATAAACAGATTTTGAAAATCTGCTGGTTTCTATCTATCTATCTATCTATCTATCTATCTATCTATCTATCTATCTATCTATCTATCTCTGTTTGTATCTAATTGCCGTAATGTTCTTTTTATATGCCTTTATTTTATCCTCATTTTCTCTTTTCCCACTCAAATATAGTGCTATTCTGTTTTTCAACACATTCATTATAAACAGATTTTGAAAATCTGCTGGTTTCTATCTATCTATCTATCTATCTATCTATCTATCTATCTATCTATCTATCTCTGTTTGTATCTAATTGCCGTAATGTTCTTTTATATGCCTTTTATTTTATCCCTCATTTTCTCTTTTCCCACTCAAATATAGTGCTATTCTGTTTTTCAACACATTCATTATAAACAGATTTTGAAAATCTGCTGGTTTCTATCTATCTATCTATCTATCTATCTATCTATCTATCTATCTATCTCTGTTTGTATCTAATTGCCGTAATGTTCTTTTATATGCCTTTATTTTATCCCTCATTTTCTCTTTTCCCACTCAAATATAGTGCTATTCTGTTTTTCAACACATTCATTATAAACAGATTTTGAAAATCTGCTGGTTTCTATCTATCTATCTATCTATCTATCTATCTATCTTTCTATCCTCTATCTATCTCTGTTTGTATCTAATTGCCGTAATGTTTTTTTTATATGCCTTTATTTTATCCCTCATTTTCTCTTTTCCCACTCAAATATAGTGCTATTCTGTTTTCAACACATTCATTATAAACAGATTTTGAAAATCTGCTGGTTTCTATCTATCTATCTATCTATCTATCTATCTATCTATCTATCTATCTATCTATCTCTGTTTGTATCTAATTGCCGTAATGTTCTTTTATATGCCTTTATTTTATCCCCCATTTTCTCTTTTCCCACTCAAATATAGTGCTATTCTGTTTTTCAACACATTCATTATAAACAGATTTTGAAAATCTGCTGGTTTCTATCTATCTATCTATCTATCTATCTATCTATCTATCTATCTATCTATCTATCTATCTATCTCTGTTTGTATCTAATTGCCGTAATGTTCTTTTATATGCCTTTATTTTATCCCTCATTTTCTCTTTTCCCACTCAAATATAGTGCTATTCTGTTTTTCAACACATTCATTATAAACAGATTTTGAAAATCTGCTGGTTTCTATCTATCTATCTATCTATCTATCTATCTATCTATCTATCTATCTATCTATCTTATTTTATCTGTTTGTATCTAATTGCCTGTAATGTTCTTTCCGTTTATATGCCTTTTATTTTATCCCTCATTTTCTCTTTTCCCACTCAAATATAGTGCTATTCTGTTTTTCAACACATTCATTATAAACAGATTTTGAAAATCTGCTGGTTTCTATCTATCTATCTATCTATCTATCTATCTATCTATCTATCTTATCTATCTATCTCTGTTTGTATCTAATTGCCGTAATGTTCTTTTTATATGCCTTTATTTTATCCCTCATTTTCTCTTTTCCCACTCAAATATAGTGCTATTCTGTTTTTCATCACATTCATTATAAACAGATTTTGAAAATCTGCTGGTTTCTATCTATCTATCTATCTATCATATCTATCTATCTATCTATCTATCTATCTATCTATCTATCTCTGTTTGTATCTAATTGCCACATATGCCTTTATTTTATCCCTCATTTTCTCTTTTTCCCACTCAAATATAGTGCTATTCTGTTTTCAACACATTCATTATAAACAGATTTTGAAAATCTGCTGGTTTCTATCTATCTATCTATCTATCTATCTATCTATCTATCTATCTATCTCTGTTTGTATCTAATTGCCGTAATGTTCTTTTTATATGCCTTTATTTTATCCCTCATTTTCTCTTTTCCCACTCAAATATAGTGCTATTCTGTTTTTCAACATTCATTATAAACAGATTTTGAAAATCTGTTGGTTTCTATCTATCTATCTATCTATCTATCTATCTATCTATCTATCTATCTCTGTTTGTATCTAATTGCCGTAATGTTCTTTTTTATATGCCTTTTATTTTATATCCCTCATTTTCTCTTTTCCCACTCAAATATAGTGCTATTCTGTTTTTCAACACATTCATTATAAACAGATTTTGAAAATCTGCTGGTTTCTATCTATCTATCTATCTATCTATCTATCTATCTATCTATCTATCTATCTCTGTTTGTATCTAATTGCCGTAATGTTCTTTTATATGCCTTTATTTTATCCCTCATTTTCTCTTTTCCCACTCAAATATAGTGCTATTCTGTTTTTCAACACATTCATTATAAACAGATTTTGAAAATCTGCTGGTTTCTATCTATCTATCTATCTATCTATCTATCTATCTATCTATCTATCTCTGTTTGTATCTAATTGCCGTAATGTTCTTTTATATGCCTTTATTTTATCCCCCATTTTCTCTTTTCCCACTCAAATATAGTGCTATTCTGTTTTTCAACACATTCATTATAAACAGATTTTGAAAATCTGCTGGTTTCTATCTATCTATCTATATCTATCTATCTATCTATCTATCTATCTATCTATCTATCTCTGTTTGTATCTAATTGCCGTAATGTTCTTTTATATGCCTTTATTTTATCCCTCATTTTCTCTTTTCCCACTCAAATATAGTGCTATTCTGTTTTTTCAACACATTCATTATAAACAGATTTTGAAAATCTGCTGGTTTCTATCTATCTATCTATCTATCTATCTATCTATCTATCTATCTATCTATCTCTGTTTGTATCTAATTGCCGTAATGTTCTTTTTTATATGCCTTTATTTTATCCCTCATTTTTTCTTTTCCCACTCAAATATAGTGCTATTCTGTTTTTCAACACATTCATTATAAACAGATTTTGAAAATCTGCTGGTTTCTATCTATCTATCTATCTATCTATCTATCTATCTATCTATCTATCTATCTATCTCTGTTTGTATCTAATTGCCGTAATGTTCTTTTATATGCCTTTATTTTATCCCTCATTTTCTCTTTTCCCATCTCAAATATAGTGCTATTCTGTTTTCAACACATTCATTATAAACAGATTTTGAAAATCTGCTGGTTTCTATCTATCTATCTATCTATCTATCTATCTATCTATCTATCTATCTATCTATCTATCTATCTCTGTTTGTATCTAATTGCCGTAATGTTCTTTTATATGCCTTTATTTTATCCCTCATTTTCTCTTTTCCCATTATAGTGCTATTCTGTTTTTTCAACACATTCATTATAAACAGATTTTGAAAATCTGCTGGTTTTCTATCTATCTATCTATCTGTCTATCTATCTATCTATCTATCTATGTACTATCTATCTCTGTTTGTATCTAATTTTTGCCGTAATGTTTCTTTTATATGCCTTTATTTTATCCCTCATTTCTCTTTTCCCCCACTCAAATATAGTGCTATTCTGTTTTCAACACATTCATTATAAACAGATTTTGAAAATCTGCTGGTTTCTATCTATCTATCTATCTATCTATCTATCTATCTATCTATCTATCTATCTATCTATCTATCTATCTATCTATCTCTGTTTGTATCTAATTGCCGTAATGTTCTTTTTATATGCCTTTTATTTTATCCCTCATTTTCTCTTTTCCCACTCAAATATAGTGCTATTCTGTTTTTCAACACATTCATTATAAACAGATTTTGAAAATCTGCTGGTTTCTATCTATCTATCTATCTATCTATCTATCTATCTATCTATCTCTGTTTGTATCTAATTGCCGTAATGTTCTTTTTATATGCCTTTTATTTTATCCCCTCATTTTCTTATAGTGCTATTCTGTTTTTTCAACACATTCATTATAAACAGATTTTGAAAATCTGCTGGTTTCTATCTATCTATTATCTATCTATCTATCTATCTATCTATCTATCTATCTATCTATCTATCTATCTATCTATCTCTGTTTGTATCTAATTGCCGTAATGTTCTTTTATATGCCTTTATTTTATCCCTCATTTTCTCTTTTCCCACTCATATATAGTATTCATTATAAACAGATTTTGAAAATCTGCTGGTTTCTATCTATCTATCTATCTATCTATCTATCTATCTATCTATCTATCTATCTATCTATCTCTGTTTGTATCTAATTGCCGTAATGTTCTTTTATATGCCTTTATTTTATCCCTCATTTTCTCTTTTCCCCACTCAAATATAGTGCTATTCTGTTTTTCAACACATTTTATAAACAGATTTTGAAAATCTGCTGGTTTCTATCTATCTATCTATCTATCTATCTATCTATCTATCTATCTATCTATCTATCTATCTCTGTTTGTATCTAATTGCCGTAATGTTCTTTTATATGCCTTTATTTTATCCCTCATTTTCTTTTCCCCCACTCAAATATAGTGCTATTCTGTTTTTCAACACATTCATTATAAACAGATTTTGAAAATCTGCTGGTTTCTATCTATCTATCTATCTATCTATCTATCTATCTATCTATCTATCTATCTATCTATCTCTGTTTGTATCTAATTGCCGTAATGTTCTTTTATATGCCTTTATTTTATCCCTCATTTTCTCTTTCCCTCAAATATAGTGCTATTCTGTTTTTCAACACATTCATTATAAACAGATTTTTGAAAATCTGCTGGTTTCTATCTATCTATCTATCTATCTATCTATCTATCTATCTATTTCTATCTATCTATCTCTGTTTGTATCTAATTGCCGTAATGTTCTTTTATATGCCTTTATTTTATCCCTCATTTTCTCTTTTCCCACTCAAATATAGTGCTATTCTGTTTTTCAACACATTCATTATAAACAGATTTTGAAAATCTGCTGGTTTCTATCTATCTATCTATCTATCTATCTATCTATCTATCTATCTATCTATCTATCTATCTCTGTTTGTATCTAATTGCCGTAATGTTCTTTTTATATGCCTTTTTTATCCCTCATTTTCTCTTTTCCCACGGTGCTATTCTGTTTTTCAACACATTCATTATAAACAGATTTTGAAAATCTGCTTTTCTATCTATCTATCTATCTATCTATCTATCTATCTATCTATCTATCTCTGTTTGTATCTAATTGCCGTAATGTTCTTTTTTTATATGCCTTTATTTTATCCCTCATTTTCTCTTTTCCCACTCAAATATAGTGCTATTCTGTTTTTCAACACATTCATTATAAACAGATTTTGAAAATCTGCTGGTTTCTATCTATCTATCTATCTATCTATCTATCTATCTATCTATCTATCTATCTCTGTTTGTATCTAATTGCCGTAATGTTCTTTTTATATGCCTTTATTTTATCCCTCATTTTCTCTTTTCCCACTCAAATATAGTGCTA